CCTCCTCTCCACCCTGTGTTGCTCCTCGCCCTTCCTCTGAGTCACCTTCTGGTAGGTGTGGGAGGAGGGATCAGTCTCCCAGTGCTTCCCTGGCTGGTGGGAGTGGTAGGGATCTGTACAAATGTCCCAGCTGGTAGAGAGGTTCGGTGACCCATTTGGGCAGTCCTGGAGCTGCCATCACTCTGATGCTTCACATTCTGTCATGCTGGGGAGGTGAAAGAAACTTGTATTTTCACAGGCTTCCGAAAGGCGCAGGTGTGTCTCAGGCCCCAGGGAGGTGCCTGAGAGGACAAGGTGGGGGCACTGGGCCCCATTGGGAGTGTCTCCCTCTGAGTCAGTATGTGTTCTCTCCCCACTCAACAGTCCTGCTCCTGCTCCTGCTCCTCAGGTTTGTGGCCTCCATGTATGGGGAGCTGTTAATAATGCAGATAGAACAGGGCACCATCTCTCTTTGCACTGGCCCTTCTGTGGCCTCTGGGTCAACATCGTTGTGGCCATTATTGTTACTGAACAGAGGTGGGGGGGGCAATATTTGGCCCACCCAGGGATGCCAAAAACTGCTACAGAAAATGGGCCCCTCCCAAGGATGGTATACTAATTCCTACTGGGCTCATCTGTCTGCCACCAATTAGAAAGACATCTCTCAATGCCAGAGATTTGTGAAAAGGAAAGGTTTATTTAAAGCCGTACAGACTTAAAGTAGTGACCCAATGTCCCCATAAAAATATCAAAGTACTTTACGATATCCACAGACGCCCACACTGCTTCCTTCTCCCCCTGCCCTAATTCAGGGTACCGTATCTCAGGAAAAGAAGCACACATCTGTGTTTCAGGCCACTGGCACAGTCAGCTGTGTCTCCGTCCAGGCAAGATCTCCAATTAATCCAAAGTCACGTGGCACCTTCTCCTGGCTTACTGGCAAAGAGTTCTTTCACCCTTTTTCCAGGCAAAGTCTCTTCTGCTTCCCATGCCACGTGGCCCAAGGGAGCACCCCAAAGCCGTGTGGGCTCTTCTACGAAAGCTGCAGGGGTCAGCACTCTGACCAAAAGCTTGTGGCTTTCTTCTTCACCTGGCTGCAGGGGTCCCCATTCTGGCAAAGCCGAGTGGTACTCTTTCTGCTGAAACCGCATGGCTCTGCCCTGTTCTGGCTGCAGGGGTCTGCACTCTTCTAAAACAGCGTGGCTCTCCCCTTCACCTCGCCAAGAGGGGATCCTTACTCTGCTGAAACTGTGTGGCTCTCCCTTACATGACTGCAGGGGTCCTCACTCTGCCCCAAACTGCGTGGCTTTCTCTCTCCTGGCTGCAGGGGTCTGCACTCTGGCCAAAACCGTATGGCTCTCTCTCTCAATGGCTGCCATGTCTACGTTTAAATCCCTGCACCAGTCTTCCTCTGTACCCCTATTTCCGACTCCTCCCACAATCTGTTACACCTGCCAGTATTTCTGTATTATTACAAGTTTACTGGGCTGCCACCATTAGTCTGGGCAGGTATGGCCCCATGGTGTGGAGCCAATCAACTCCAAGCTCTCATGTGGGGGCTGTAACTCTGGGGACTTGACCCCTAGTTAGGTCTTGGGTGGAAGTCACTTCCATCCCCCTGGCTTAGAGCATGGCCATAGCTATTTAACATATCTATGAAACCAGTTAAAGGTTATAGATATGTTAAATGACCATTCCAGAGGTGAGCTGTGAAACTATTGCTATGCAAAACAGCTCTCAATGGCCCTGCTCCATTTGTCCCTTCCCCCTGGTGGGGGGAGGGAGGGAAGGACATCTTAATATTTCCTGGACACCCTAAGCTCTGGACCCCATTCCAAATTCTTTTTTTGGGCCCCCCTCTTGGCTGCGCCCTGTTACATTATCATTAGTGAGCTGAGGGGGATGCAATCAGGACCACAGGTGGGTGAGAGGCATCCCGCCCCCCCCCCCGCCCCCCGCAGCCTGCTCACTAGTCATCCCCCCTCTCCTTCTGTTCTGGCCCCACAGACGCTCCAGCCCACTTCCTGAGGTCCTTCCCAGAGCCCTTCAGCCTGGCTCTGTCTGTTCCTGAAAGCGTCCCCCCCCCCCCCCCGCCCCGCCTTTCTAGCAGGACTTGCCTCTCTTGGGTACCGGGGCATCTGCCGGTTCCCGTGTTTGGGGTTGGCCGGTTCAGCAGGCAGGCACACCATCCCAGGGAGGAGTAGGTCTCCTGCGACAGACAGCTCCTCCACCAGCCAGTCACAGCCCCGAGAGCCCCCCGAACTTGCTCCCCGGCACGTCCTGTCCAAACTACCCAATCTCCACCCTCCAGCGGCCCAAGGCAGAGCCAGGAGAGCAAAGAGAGCAAAAGGAAACTTTCAACTCCCGGGACTATCCTCTGATCCAACTGAACCGCCCTCTGGCTCGGCACCGCCGCCCCGCCCCCTGCTCCCCGCCCCCCCTCCGATGGCCTGAGGTGGACCCAGCATATTGGACTTGGAGTTACATCTCACTCCTTTTTGCCTGCGGTTTTGTACTTTATCTTTTTTACTAGTCGGCTTACCCACTTGTCCCCAGCCTCCTGGAATCACACTGCCCTTCACTTCTGAAACTGTTCCCACTCCATCCGCCTTTGGAAATCTGAAGCTGCCCTGGGTAGGAAGGGGTTGGGGTTGAATTCATTTTATGGGGTCCTTCTAAAGAAAAAAAATACAAAATATGGTACAAAAATGACTTTATTTAAAATGATCAAAATGATAAATCACACGTCTGGGTGGTGGTCCCTGAGCAGACAGATGGGACTCCCCTTGTCTGCGCACCTTGCTGGGCTCTTCAGCAAACATATCTGATAAACCCAGTATGGCCAGGATTGAGAATTCGATAAGTCAAAATTGAAGAAGACAGAAACACAAGAGAAAAATCCACTGCCTTCCAAAGAAACGATTGAATAGGAGAAGCAAGCAGGTAAATAATGAGACCTGCACCTCCAATATGCACTATACATTCCACAAGCAGTGCCTTTTTATTCTACTTCATCTGGCTGTTTAACTTTGTAAAATGCAAAGAAGTTGGATCAGTTTAAATGACTTTGCGGCCCTTTTACACATCAGGGAACCACTGACATCGAAGGCCGCACCTGCCTCTCTCAAGTGGCTGGCTGGCTGGCAGGGAAGGAAAAGAACTTGCATGTTGGTGAAGGAAGAAATTCGGTGGGAGCACAGTGAGACCTAGAGTAAAAACCAAGCTGGTTCAAGGTGTCCTGTTTTCGGGGAAGCGACGCCGAGGCATAAAGAGTAAAGGGATTTAGGTTTTTTCCTGGGGGGCTCTCTTACTAAAGGGGGCCGCCTCTTTTTTATTTTCTAGCCCAGAAAGGGGGGGGTGGCTTTTAAAAGGCGGGGGGCGTGGTGGTGGTTGCTGCTGGTCTGGGGGGGGGGCGGTTTTTATTCGTTTTTTCCTCCGGTTTTTTTCATCTTGCATCACCTCAGGCTGTAAAATGAAGTTTAATCAGGGTGTCATTTTTTGTTGTTGTTAAAATGATTTCAATTATTGGAATGTGCAATTAAAAAAAAATGCAAATAAAAAGATTTAAAAGCTGCCCTGGCTGGTGTAGCTCAGTGGATTGAGCACAAGCCTCTAAACCACAGGGTTGCTGCTTTGATTCCTGGTCAGGGCACGTGCTTGGGTTGTGGGCCGGGTCCCCATTTGGGGGTCACGTGAGGTGTGACCACACATTGATGTTTCTTTCCCTCTCTTCTCTTTCCTGTCCCCTCTCTCTCTTAAAAAAAAAAGGTTAAAACCTCAAAAAATAATAAATCACTTATTTTTAAAGGCTAACAAATACAATGAGCAACATAAAAACCCAGGAAATTAATTTTATTTGCCTTTCTTGCTATTCTAATAGGTGTATAGTGGTATTTCACTGTGGTTTTTGAAAGGTTTTCTCAGACCCTGCCAAGGAAGAAATGCTGCCAATCAGCCACAAAGTTAGGAAGTATAGAGCTTTATCGGGGTTTGTGCGCCTGGGTGAAGTTCCCTGGTCTGCAGAGTGGGGTCGGGAAAGTTGCTGCGTGAATAGGGAAAGTGGCGGGATTTTATTTTCCTTGGCTCCCCATGGGAGCTGGGGATTGGTCCCCTCTGAACAAAGGGGCAATACATTATTGGTGGTCTCTTCCTGGGACTCAGGTTGCTACGTGGATATCCCTTTAGGCAAAGCCCGCCCTTTCGGCTCTCTGGTTTAACGTCAGCCTCTTTTCCGGATTGTGGTCCGGCCTTGGTTTTATCCTACACTGCCCATCCTGACATTCCAACCTCTTTGACAGGATAAGGGGTGTTGCATTCCATCCAGCTACTTCCTGCTGTCAGGGAGATGTAGAGGGGAGGGGCTGGAGGCTGGCCATTTCTAGTTTGTCAGGGAGGGGCAAGTAGGTTTGGGTCTGAAGCAACATCTGGTTAAAGGTAACCCAGGAAGCTTTGAGAATTCTTTCCTGGAAGAATCTCAGGAAACAGGGGCCAAGTGTTAATAGTATGCAGATTATTATGACTGGCCCTAGGACTGGGGCCAGGGTGGTAAAGAGTAGGGAATGTCACCACGGGGTTATTGTTTCGAGAGTGGCGGCATCTTGGCATGATTTCTCCCTGAGGTTTTATAAGGTATTAACATTCTCTTCTACTATGCCGCTCTCATTCACATAGAGGCAGCACTGTTCCTGCAGGAAGAGACATGTTCCCCCCTTTTCTGCTGTTAGTAGGTCTAGAGCTCTGTGGTTCTGGAGGGCAACCTGGGCTACTGAGGTTATCTGTCTCTGCAAAGATGCTAGAGAGGTGGCAGAGGCGTCAAGGGCCTGCTCCAACTCAGCCCGTAACTGGCGAGTGGCTTGGAGATTGTGTGTTAGCCCAGCGCTGCCTATCTCCCAGCTGCTGCCAGGGTTGTGGTGAAGGTTAGACCTACTAGTATGGGCAGGAAGATGGCTCGTTTTTCTTTATGTCTGGTTAATTCGTCCCTGAGCTCTCCTTCTTCATAATGCATAAGATGTGGGGTCAGCATGGTTGGGAAGCAGGGGAAGGCTGAGGAGGAGTTCATGGTCCATAGCAGCATTCCATTGCACCAGAAAAACGTACCTGGGGGCTGGTGGTGGTTTCCAATATCTGCACAGTTTGGCTGCATGAGGAAGTGCCTGCAGTAGTGTAACATACTTTGGGACTGTTCATTATGTTTTGAAAGAGAAGTACATCTTTTAGGAAAAAAGGTGTTGGGGAGTTCGTGACCTTGAGAGGAGTGGGTATGGGAACTGCCACAACAAGGGAGTGGTCAAGAAAAGCACATAGGAAACAGTCAGTGACCTTTCCTGTTAGTGATATTGAAGAGTTGAATTCCTTGGCATATGAGGCTTAGCCAAGAGAAAGGGGCACTCTCCTGTTTTCCTTGTCGGATCAGTGTTTGCAAGGATTGTTCATGTGTTAATATGGTATTAGTCAAAAAGGTTTTATTCCATGGTCCTAGAATAAGAGTTCGGTATATTTCAATGGAACTCTGGAGATGAGAATATGAGAGGCTTCGGTATAGTTTTCCCTTCACTCTCTGCTCCCATTTGGAGTCCCATGGGTCATAAATGGTAAAGCGCCACTGCTAGAGAGTACTCCATTCATGGTATTTGCAATAGTAGTAGGGGCAGCCTCCATATATGTCTGGCCAGAGTTTGCACTTAGCATCCGTCTGATCATAGAGAAAGCAGAGAGTGTGCCATCTGTACCAGGTAGTCCAGCCATCTAGCCCTCTAAAGCTACTTTTGGGAGCAGAGAGAAGGATGGATGTAGAGCAACTGGAGGGAGGGCAGTCCGCAGAAGTGACAGGGTGAAAAATTACCTGTCCGTCTTTGTCATATATTTCACATACGAAGAACCTCCAAATGTACTTGCTTTGTAGTTTAGGAGGGGTTTTTGACAGGGATGGATAAGCAAGAAGAATTTGTAGGGACTTCATTGGGAGAACCTGGTGTTCAAGTAAAGCAGACTTGGGTACTCCTATGAGCTGTGCTGACCACTTTCTTGAGGCAGGGGCTGCTTAAGGCGGGAGAGGTGGACCCACACTGGGTGACCCACTAGTTTCACTGATGTGGGGGTGGTTAGAACAATAGTATGGGGCCCCGTCCACTTGGGCTGGAGCAGTCCAGGTCGGAGCTCTTTGAGTAATACCTGGTCTCCAGGCTGTAGGAGAGTGGCCGGGCCTGTCTCCGGACACCCCCCCCCCCACCAGAGGAAGAACTCTGTCAGCGTGTTCATGGAGAAGATGCTGGAGGAGAGAGAGATAAGGCAGACAGGAGGCCAGAGGGGGAGTATATACTGGCAGGATATAGTTAATAAGGAAAGGGTGGCAGTACAATAGTTCAAAAGGGCTAAGTCCTGTTGGTTCCCGTGGGGCTGCCTGTATTCAAGTGAGGGCCAGAGGGAGCAGAGAGGGCCAGGAATTTCTGGTTTCTATGGTAAGTTTGGTTAGGTGGGTTTTCAGGATGCTGTTAGCCCGTTCTACTTTTTCAGAAGACTGCGGATGATAAGGAATGTGCAGCTTACAGGTGATGCCAAGGGAGGTGGAGACCTGCTGGACAATTTGGGAGATGAGCCTGGACCATTGTCTGACTGGATAGAGGAGGGCAGCCCAAATCGTGGGATAATGTGGTTGAGGAGGAAGTTGACTACTGTATCCGCTGTTTCTCTTGTCATGGGATAGGCCTCAATCCAACCTGAAAACGTGTCAACAAAAGTTAAAAGGTAGCGGAATTTCTTATGGGGAGGCATGTGTGTAAAGTCGACCTACCAATCCTGTCCCAGGAGGTGTCCACGTAGTTGATGGCCCAGGACCTGAGTCTTCATTCCTCCCTGGGCGGATGTCTTGGAAAAGAGTGGTATGAATAAACAAGGGGTTTAGAAACCTCATCAGAGCTTTCTGACCAATGTGTAAAGATTGGTGAATTTCAGAGAGAAGTGCAGTGGTCTGTTCTTGGGGTAGGGCTATTTGTCCGTTGAGGAAGACCCATCCCTCATTTCCTGGGTGCCTGCCCTGCTGGAGGAGGGTGGAGTACTCTCAGGGGTATAGGCGGGGTGAATATAGTGGTCAGAAAGAGGATGGGGTGTGGCAGGGCGTGTGCGGTGAGTTCTCAAGATGCAGCATCCGCCCAAGCACTGCCGTGGGAAACGGGGTCCTGTGAGGCCTGGTGACCCTTACAGTGGACCACCGCTATGGCAGTGGGCAGGTCTGTGGCCTGGAGGAGTTTGGCAATGAGGGAGACATTAACAATGGGTGAACCTTTAGTAGTGAGGGAGCCCCTTTCCTTCCACAAAGCCAAGTGGCTATGAACAATCAAGAAAGCATATTTAAGCCCTAGCTGGTGTAGCTCAGTGGATTGAACACGGGCCTGGGAACCAAAAGATTGCGGTTTGATTCCCCGTCAGGGCACATGCCTGGGTTGCAGGTCAGTTCCCAGCAGGAGACGCACCAGAAGCAACCATACATTGATATTTCTCTCCTTCTCTTCTCTTCTAAAGATAAATAAATAAAATTTTAAAAAAAAGAAAATTCTTAAAAAAAAAGAAAGCATATTTGGAGTCTGTGTAGATAGTAACCTTCTTACCGCAGGTTAGGGTAAGTTCCTGGGTGAGGGCTATGAGTTCAGCTTTCTGAGAGGTGGTACCTTCAGGGAGCTTATTGGCTTCCAGGGTTTCAGTCAAAGTTACTACCACATAGGCTGCTCATCTTCAGCCATCAGCTCCGAGCACTGAACTTCCATCTACAAACAGAGTGAGATCTGCCTCTGGGAGAGGCTTGTCAGATATACGGTCTACAGGTTGACTAAGGAAGTCTAGTGCTTCTGGGCAAGAGTGGGCAGGCTCTACGTCTGTAGTGGGGGTTGGCAAGAGGGTAGCTGGGTTGAGGCGCGGTGAGAGCTGGAGAGACAGGACTGTGCCCTCGACGGACAGGAGGTGGAATTCCTGTAGACGGGAAGGGCTCAAAAAAGAGAGAGCTTGGCGGGATAGAAGGTCTGTAAGGCGATGAGAGGAAAATACAAGTTGGACAGAGTGAGTTTGAGGGCTTCCTTCCTGAGTTCTGCCGCACTCCCTAACGCCTGGAGGCACAGCTGCCATCCACGTAGGGTAGGATCAAGCTGTTTCGATAACTAGGCTACTGGGAGGTATGTTGGGCCTCCCGGCTGAGCCAAGACTCCAACTGCAATTCCCTGCCTGTTGTCTGTGAACTGAAGGAAAGGATGGGAGGGATTGGGAAGACTCAGGGAGGGGTCTGTAACAACATGTCCTGAAGGATGGTGAAGGCTTTTTGCACTAACTTGGGGGTTGTGAGGGAGCCAGTAGGAGTGTCTTCGGCCGCTTCATACAGCGGCTTGGCGAGTAGGGCAAAGTTGGGGACCAAAATAGCCCTACTTGCCAAGGCTGAAAAATCCAACTAGCCCCAAGAAAGATAGAATTTGATTTCCTGTCATAGGTGGTTGGAGATTACAGAGGAGTTGAGTGCAGTCCGCTGTTAGGCTGCTCAAGGTAGGCGTGAGAGAGAGAGACCTAAGTAGGTGACTTGCTGGCTTGACAATTGAGCCTTGTCAGGAGAGACTCAGTATCCTTTTTGGACAAGGAACCTAAGGAGATCTGCAGTATGTTGTCTGGAATCTTGTAAAGTGGGGCTGCAGAGAAGGAGGTCATCTACATATTGGAGGACTTTGCTGGAGCCTAGGTCACAGGAAGCTAAGTCCCGAGCTAAAGCCTGACCAAATAAATGGGGGCTATCTCTAAACCCTTGTGGCAAGACTGTCCATGTGAGCTGTTGTGACAGAGCAGTGTCAGGGTCTGTCTATGTGAAGGCAAAAAGAAACTCGGACTCTGGGTGTAGTGGGATTCTGAAGAAGGCATCTTTGAGGTCCAGGACTGAGAAGTGGGTTGTATTCAGAGAAATGAGAGAGAATAGTATAGGGGTTAGGGACTACCGGGTGCAGAGGGATGACTGCTTCCTCGATGAGTCTAAGGTCCTGGACCAGGTGGTAGGCTCTGGACAGTTTTTTGGACCGGGAGAATGGGAATATTGCACAGAGAATTAACAGGGACAAGAAGTTTCTGGTCTAGGAGGTGGGTGATGATAGGCTGTAATACTTCTAAGTTTGCGTGGGAGATAGGAAATTGAGGTCAGGATGGGAAAACATTGGCCATTTCAAGCAGATGATGACCAGGGGGTGATGAGAAGCCACGGTTGGGATAGAAGTGTCCCATACTTGTTGGTTGACTAGGGAAGGGGAAATGGATGGAGCTGGAGGAGTTGGGTTTTCCAACAGCAGGAGGATAAGGGAGGAGGAAGGGGTCAGGTTTCGCGCCATCTGAAGAGTGGCGCTTAATAATTGGAAAACACCCCGTCCTAGAAGCAGAATAGGGCAGGAGGGTATGACAAGGAATGAATGGGAAAAGGGAAAGCTGTCCAGACTGCAGCTAAGTAGGGGGGGGTTCCCCATGGGCGAGACGGGGTCCCATCAACCCCCATGACCAAGATCTGGGAAGGAGTAAGAAGTCCCGAAAAAGATGGTAAAACAGAGTAGGTAGCTCCTGTGTCCACTAGGAAAGAGATGGACTTACCCGCTACCTGCAGCGTTACCGTGGGCTCCTCGAGGGTAATGGGGGTCTTCCAGTCAGGGCTGCTTGAATTGCCTAGGAGTCTGAGAAGTTCCGGCGCGGCCAGGGAAGAGCCTGCACCTTGATCAGCTGGTCCTCTGCATGGAGGTGCCGGGGATGAGCCCCTAAGGGGACAGGCATCCCTCCAGTGGCCAAGCTGTTGGCAATTGGGGCAAGGCTTCATTGGTGGCCGAGGTTGAGGACACTGGCAGGCCCAGTGCCCTTCTTTGCCACACTTGAAACAGGCCCCCGGTGGGGTATTCTTTGGCCCAGACTTAGGCTTCGGCCCTGTGCCGGTGTTTGCCGGCAGGACCGCTAGCACGGCCTGGGTTTGCAGGGCTACCTTTTGCTGTAGGCGAGCCTGGTGGGCAGCCTCAGCCTCTGCTTCCCAGTTATTGAAAACCTTAAATGTCATATTTATTTATTTATTTATTTATTTATTTATTTTCTTTTAAAA